CATAAAGGTGAATACACCAAATTTTATGCACATTACCACAGGAACACTACAGTGGCTATAATTTCAAAACCAGGTCATAAGTAATTTTAAAGGGGTCTGTTGTAACTTTGATCAGTGGCTAAGCAATAACTCATAAGTTAAGGACTACCTACATTTGTCTTAATACATCCAATAAAGGGGAATCCATCAGTATAGTTCTTGGAACTATTTTTACTATTAGGTTTTTTTTTTTAAAAAAAAACAAGATTCAATTAGAATTTGCCTTTTCAAAGAGAACAGCTCTTAACCTTCCATTTGATGTCCTTTCAGATATTTGAAGAGTACTATCGTATCTCTTTGCCCCATTATCATTTTCTAAGACTAAACATGCCCAGTTCATTCAGTCTTTTAATCCTTTGATCATCCTTGTGGTCTTTCTCTGAATCTATTCCAATGTCTTCAAATCCTTTTTAAAGTATGTCTAGGACCAAAAATGAATATACTCCCATGTAAATGATTACTCCCATGATTTGGAAATTAGATTTCTATTGATGCAGCTTAAAAATAATTTCTGTGAGGTGGTGGATCTGTGTGTATTGACAGCTGTATCACAACACTATCATATCAGTTGCAATCAAATACTACATTATTCCTTATTGTAAGGTATTTTGTTTTGACAAATACTATTACTAAGCCAAATATTCCCCATCTTACTGTTTTAGTAAAGCCAAGAAACGTATCTACCATATTCCTACAATATATTAAGAAAAATTCTATCATTGAGAAATGTACTCTACTAAGATGTGTTGTTGACAAATTTATGCTGACTTCGGGGAATAGATTGTTTTCAAAATGCTTCAGGGTCCACCCATATGCAGTATGGATATCTACAGCAGTTCAGCAACATTCAGGGCATATGGAGTCAGCATGCTGGCCAATATCTTTCATCTAACTGGCTTCAGCAATCCTACATCTTGAGCAGTCATGTTTTTGATACCCTTTTGGATCATCTTCTCAACCACATTTTGGTAATGTAGGTGGTATGAAATTTACATTGTATAAACAATGCTGGACATGGGCTCCAAGGCTTAAAAGCACAAAGGAAAATATTTATTAAATTAAAGAGAGATGGCAATAATGCTGTATGTGCCATGGGTAGAAGAAAGGTTTTCATGTTGATGGAAGGTCATCAAATATTTAAAGTATTTTGTAACATAAATTCTTATTCAACTATGTATGGAAAAGCTTGAAGCTCCAGACTTTTCAGAGCTTGGGTCTGAATCCCATATCTGAAACTTTCACGTCCTGTTTTTCTTGGCATTCCTTCAGGAGCCAGATACAGATCTTCGATACAGGCAGTGTTAAAGGGAGGATTTGTTACTATAAATTCCAGATAGCAAGTCAGCAGGAGGTAACAGAAAAAGGCAAAAGTAGGAAAACAGGTATATGACTTGTAGGTAAGAACTGAGTTGGATAAAGGCAATTTCCAAGTCAAGCAGTCCAAGGTCAACCTGAAGATTTAGGATGCCAAGTCAAGGGAAAGATGTAGTCTTAGTCAGTTGCCAAACTGGAGTCATAAATAACTGGATTCCAATAAGAAGCCAGATGCACAAATTGTTTCTAGAAAATGAAGACTATTACTGTGAGGTTTAAAGTCTCTCCCTGCTAAGTGTGCACAGGTACTACCATTTTTTTCTTAAGCTTTGCTGGTCAGTTCAATGTTGTGTTGCTTGCTCAGAGGTCACACACTTCCGTGAGGTGTAGAGATCCAAGAAAGAATAGGGTTGGGGAGAGGAGCGAGTGCCTGAGGCAGCCTGTTTTGCAGCTAACGCTGACTCCAAGGGCATGACAGCCTGTTTGTTGGAGGCTGGGTCAGGATAGAAGCTGATACATGTATACACAGTCCTCCCAGATAAACCAGGCAGGAAACACATTAATAGCATCTTGCACATCTGAAGGTACAAACTTCCTGCTGCTTCTTTTAACTACTTGATCAATTAGGGTGGGTTGATGGGTGGGTCCTTTCTAAGTTTCTTTCTCTGATTGTTAAGCCAGTGGGAGCTCTTCTCTCTCTCTCTCTCTCTCTCTCTCTCTCTCTCTCTCTCTCTCTCTCTCTCTCTCTCTCTCTCTCTCTCTCTCTCTCTCTCTCTCTCTCTCTGTCTGATTGTTTCCTAGGCAGCATCTCTTCCTCCTTTCCCCAAGATAATTCCCACATTCTATTACAGACTGTGATTACATCTCTTCCCTTCGTTCTCCAAGCTCATCCATACATTCCATCACACACACAAACATAGAGCCAGAACTTAAACAAATGAAGGACACAATGATATTTATTTTGGACACAATGATATTTATCTTAATAAAGTAGTGTGATCTAATATATACAAGTGAAAATACTATTAAAATATGTGCTTCTATGTATTTTCAGAATAGTATAAGTAATATAAGAAATCAAGTCTTAACCTACTTTATTTTCCTCCTTCTCAAATCTTTTTCCTTCAATTTCTACTTGACATTTACTGCATTTTCTTCCTCTCCTTATCTCAATTACTGATACTGGAATATCCTGGCTATCTTGCTGCCAAAGTCACTAATCTCCTTCACCAAGTTTCACTATTCAGCAGTTAAATTTTAGTATACATAACACAGTCTGATCTCCTAGTTCTTCCAGATTCTTATAACCTGATCTAAGCTGGCAGGCTGTGTCACTTCTCCAGTCTCTGCTAATCAGGTGATGTTTTCTGCAGTAATACTTCCTGCAGCATCAGAAATATATTTCAAAAAATCCTTTGTTTTCCTTATATATCTAAGACATGTATGTTCCACTTTACAGGTGTATTCTAGCAATTTCCCTTACACATTCTAGGTCTTGTGCTGAATCACCTGCTTTTCCCCATAGAAATCCTTGACTAGCACAGATCCAAACATTTACCTCCAGCCAGGCACTTCACTCTACCACAAAGTTTTTGTTGATTTCAAGCCAAGGAATTTGTTAGCATAGTTGTTCTTTATTCTATGTATATCAAAATGCCAACTCCTGTACCAGATCAATATGATGGAATCCAAACAAGATTTACTGTTTTCCTCACTCAATGTAAACTATATCTCACTAAGCTCAGAACATTTCTTTGCCTATTAAAGATTTTTTTTTAAAAGCCTAATGTAGAGATTGCAAAGTGAGCTATGCCACTTCTGAACCAGACTAGCACTGATCTGGACAATTGCTCTGGCTTCTTGGCATCTTGAAAATTAATTTTGAGGATCTCGTGACAGCTAATTGTGAAATCTACTATCTACGATAAGGCAAGATTTCAGTGTGGGCATATGTTCACTCATGATATAGAGTAAAAGGAGAGAGACTTAACTGACCTGTTCAAGGATTGATTGATGAAATATGAGATTGTTCATCAAGGCATTCCAGATACAATAACATCATGCTTGAGCATTTATCAAAAATGAGTTGTCGTGGGTAGTACAATAAGATACCACTCTGTTTCATTCCCTTTTTCTTCCTACTTCCTTGTGCAGACCTTGATTTGAAATTTACCAATTGAATGCATGCATCTATAATTCAGTACAGTCCTCAACTTACAACCATTCATTTAGTGCCCGTTCAAAATAACAAAAGCACAGTATAAAGTGACTTACAACTGGGTCCTTGTAGTTACAACTCTTGCAGCATCTTCATAGTCATATGATCAAAATTTGGGACTTGGCAACTAATATGTATTTATGACAATTGCAGCATCGGAGAGTCATATGATCACCATTTGTGACCTTCCCAGATGGCTTCCGACAAGAAAAATAAATGGAAGAAGCTGCATTCCCTTAACAATTGTATGAGTCACTTAACAACTGTGATGTTTTGCTTAACAAATATAGCAAAAATGGTTGTAAAATTGTCCAGGATTCACATAACAACTGGTAATGGAAATTATCCTAATTGTGGTTATAAGTTGAGAATTACCAATAGAACACTTCTTACTGCTCAAGTATCTGCCAGCACATATAAGGCATATGTCAATATTGCAGAGACTTTGATCATTACACCTAAAATGCCATGGTTGTAAAGAAGTGGGGCACTTTTTCAGTAAATGCCTTATTCCACTCTGGCTTGTCAAAAAAAAAAAAAAAGTGAAGTCATAACCACCAAGGGCTATGAAGCTGGATCAACCAGAAATTAAATAAGACCTGTGGAGTTACACATTGCCATTTAATCAATCCTTTTACTCTGTAATGCATACTTAGCACAGGAATACAGCTATAACTGGTTACCTTATTAAATAATTCAATGCATGCAAATATGTTTCCTCTACTCATCCTACCTATCTTCATTTTAAGACTACTTTTTGATTACTTTAATAGCTCCAATCACAGCACAGTTATCCTTTACAACTCTCCATTGGCAACTATCAGAAACTTTCACAGCTTTATTTGGTCTCCTCTTTATATTATTCAGTTGTTGTCAGCCTTGTGAGGTAAATAGACAGGAAACACAGCCAGATGAGCTAATTCTGTTTTATTGTAAGATTACATTAACAAAATCTTGCAAGACTGAAAGTACATTTCTCCTTTCATCTCCTTTACAGCTCAAGGAAACTAGGGAGAGAATCTCTTCTGAACCATTTGCCCTGCCCAAATTCCTGCTGTGGGCTAAGTTGTTTTTTATCTGACTATCCTCTTGGCTGCATCTCTTTGCCCTTTTTCCCAATGTCATTCACACCTACTACCACAGTTGCTTTGGGACTGTAAGGGCTACAGACTCAGAATGCACAAGCTAGTCAGAGAAATCTGATTTGTATGAATGATAGCTTTTGACTATCATTATGTGATATTTGAATATTTAATAATGTCATACAGACTGGCAATGAGCGAGTCTCTCAATGATCTATGAACCATATTTCCATAATTTCTTGAACAAGTAATTTATTGTTGAAATTATATATATATATATATATATATATATATATATATATATATATATATATATATATATATATATATATATATTCATTCTGAGGACAATGCATTCCATGATAACCAAATGCATACAGTTCTTCAGTGTCTTCATGACAACAGCTTCTGCATTAAACTTGAGAAATGCACCTTTGTCAATCTATACTAGTTTATTTGAAATACTCTATTTCTTCTGAAGAACTGCAGATGGATTCAACAAAAGTACAATCTGTTATCTTGGTATTTCCACCCACCCCTGTACCATACTTCTTGGGCTTTGCCTATTTTTATCCTAAATTTATTTCTAAATTTACAACAATGGCCACACTATTACCTTAGCTTAACAAGAAGGTAAAAGGTTTCTAAACTGGCTTTCTAACACCCAATATGCTTCTCTGCAAGTCATTTTTCAGCTCCACTTCTTCCATCAACATCCTGTCCACTTATTGTACAGACTGATGCCTTGATTTTGCCTTGAGTTCTGTGGGTTTACAATTTGCTCCAGTTCCAATGCCTGGATTGAACTCACTACCCTTAGAAAAGATCATAAAACCTTAAGGCATATCCAGAGTCAGATCATTTTCTTTTTTCTTTTGACTTTTGAATCTCTTGCATTCCAAGCATACAGAACAAGCAGGTAAATTGTTTACATTGTAAATGTGAATTTTGTGTCTTAAGAATCTTCTAGCGGACCGGGAGATTCTTAGTACCACTGCCCCATTTAAGGGGCGCCTGTATTCGGAGCCATTGTTGGGTTTTGCCACCATTAACATGATTTTCCTGGGAAACATATAGTGTAGTAGTCTTCCCTTTGCTTTCTGTGCACATGCTGTTCAAGTGGCTGCCACCACACTGTGTGCTGTTCTTCTGAAGCCATTCCAACCAATATGGTCTCCGCCTTCAGTCGATACTGGGGGAGCCAGCTGCCACTCACCAGGGAAAGCTGCGCGAAATCATCAAAACAATTAAAAAATTAAAGTTAGAATATTTCAGACATGTGATGTGACACCCAGAAAAATATGACATACTCCATTTAATCCTTCAGGGAAAGATTGAAGGCAAATGAGGTCCAGGCAGAAGAGGAACATCTTGGCTTCAAAATCTAAGGGACTGGTTTGGACAAAATTCAGCAGCCCTTTTTCGTGCGGCTGCTGATAAAAACAGGATCACCAACGTGATCGCCAATGTCTGATAACGGATATGGAGGAGGAGGAGGAGGAAGAGGAAGAAGAAGAAGACTCTTCTCTAAACTCTATTCTACATCCTGAATGAAGACTTCCCCATTTCCCATTAATCCCAGTGTTGGAGTGAATCTACATTCATCAGGAGCAGGATCTTTTATGTATAGACTATAAAGAGACTCCTTGCAATTATCTCCCTCTTCTTCCTGGAGCATAGAAATTTGTACCACAACAGCTATATTGCTCCTCTCTGGAGTAAGAGATTTGCAATTCTGTCACCATAATCACGTACTTGGGTATTCTGAGATCTTCAAAACTACCCATCTTCTCTGTGACTTTTAATGATTTCATGTCAAAGCAGAAGTCAGGAATGACTTTCATGCCAGATTGACTGGTCTATTAGATGTCTTAGTATCTTCCCACTCAATAGTGGCTTTGGGATACAGCTTTTTGATATAATGACCTATTGCTTGTCAAGAGACTCAATGCTATACTGATGGTAGCTGATCTCTTCTTTTCTTGCTATCACACTCTTTAATTTATTTTCCTTATGTATTATGAAGAATGTTCTCTGAGCTTGGTTGTTTTCTTGCATATGTTTCATTACCCAAACTAAATAACATCATCAATGCTAGTAAGGAGTGGGGGGCTCTTAGTCTGTGTTACTTATCTTTAATTGTTGATATTATTTTATTTAGTTATATTATTTGTTCTTCATTATCATTATTATAATTAGCTATTGGTTGTTTCAGTGTATTTATATTTACCATGAATGATGTCAGGCACAAGCAACAAGAACCACTTGTGAATAGCCTCAAGCAAAAGCTTTCTTATTGTCACCTATGTTAGAAGAATTTTGCCAGACTGACAGCATTCCCTTGGGAACAATCAGATAAAGCTTTGGGTATTCTGGGGAAGGTCAAGCTTGTGCCATTTTGTGCAGTGGAAGGATACTAAGTTTGACCAGTTGTTAGATTCCACCACATGTTTTAATAATTACAGATGTTTTTGTTGTTTTCTAAACTGCTATGAATATAGATTGTTTCAAAAATACATGTATAAAATAACTAATAAATCCTATTTCATCTACTGGATGTTAGGTTCCACCTGTCTATGACACATTGGATGAAGCAACTTGGGGGACAAATTATATTAACTTGTATCCCACCTTCAATATTTTTTATAAACAATTCAAGGCAGTGCAAATATCCAACACAGTTCCCTCCTCCTATTTTTCTCACAGTAACACCCCAGTGAGGCGAGTTGGGCTGAGAAACTGACTGGCCCAAGATCACCTAGTTGTCTTTCATGGCTAAGGTGGGACTAAAACTCACAGTCTCCCAGTTTCTAGCCTGATGCCTTAACCACTATACTTCTTGGAGCAAGATTTTTATTAGTTATACCAGCCATATGACTGTCTAGTTGTTTTTTTAAAAAATTCTGTGGCAGAATAACTCAGTTCCTATCTTTGTTTAGTTGTTACCTGTGAGGCCACCTGTGGTTACTCTTCACTTTTATCCAAATATTTCTGGCCCTTGTTCATCCTAGAAAATCCCGGTACTTCAAGATTCATAGAGCTCAATGTCTTCTTAAGGAACAACTAGATCAAGCCTCCTATGACATTTTGCTCTCATTTTCCCATCACCACTGTTGGAAGTCATGTCTGACATTTTAGAATGTTTCTCCCGTCTACATGATCACATAAGAAATCAGTGTCAATTTTTTGAAACATTCCCTGTGGCAGCAGACATTAGTCCTATGTTCTTTCATTTGTAGCTTCCAGCTTCAGAGATATACCCAGTTTCTAAGTACTTTTTCCTGAAAAAAATGGGATTATTTGTGTTAGTGTGCATTCTGGACTCTACAAGAGACTGCTTCAATATTTGATTCATTGGAAAAAATCCTTAAACACTGAATGCTCCCAAGCAGCAAGAAATAATGTGCACACACATTGCCTTTTCCATTTGCAGTATTTACATAAAGCTAAGCTACCTGAATGGTTGCAGAGAAAACCTTTGCAGCTGCCAGTAATTCTGACATGAGGGAAAAGGAGGACTTGGTAATGCTGGTGCGATGAAGGAATGTATGACTGAGGAGAGACATGTGAAGACAGACTACCCCATTGCTTGTAAGCAGTACCAGGTTGGAAAAGACTATGTCACTTGAATCAGAGTTTTGAAAGTGTAGATGTCTCACCAGCTCTGGTTTTCAGATGTGAAGACCGAAATGGGAAAAGAAGCATCAACTGTTGTGGTGGAAGAGACAAATATAACCATGGAGAGAGTATGGAACACCTCCCTTTTGTTTCATTTTGAGTCAGAAGGAAGGAATGATAATGATCCTTTCATACACATAGAGGGAAAAGAATGTCAGTCCTACAAGGCAGACCAGACTAAGAAATCAGTGCCATATAAGCCAGGGCTATTTTTATTATAAAAGTTAAAGTAACAGAATCTTGCAAGATGGAATATGTCCTCCCCCCTCACCTTATCTTCAATTGCAATAGGGAAGGGGTTTAGAAGTTTTCTAATTAATTTTTTGGCCTGGGCTCAAGATCCACTTCTCTAACTATTGCTTTGGTAGTGGCCCTTCCTCCTGTTCTTCAAGGCCATCCCCTATACCTTCTATAGGGAAATGGTATGGTAGTTACACTGGGAGTATACAGAAACGATGGAACACAAGTTGTATATTTAACACTGATAAAGGGTGCAGTGAGAGTTCAGGGAGAATATGTGATTTTCATTTGTTTGCAAACTTTATAGTCAGCCAGTTCATATATTCTGGTGGTTCATCGAGGTGATGCACAATTCAGCTACTCTTCTGCAGTAATAGGGCAGTATTAGTGTCTATTGTATAAACTGCTGCTCGTTTGTCTTCTGGCCACTCCAGTCATTGTTTTTCCACAATTTTGGTGTGGGGCTCATTTTTTTTCCTTTTGTTTAATTCACGCACATTTCTGACTCCTTTCTCTACTCGTATCTTTCTTTCCAAGCAACCAAACATTAATATTTCACTTAAAATAATGCGCAACAAGAAAATCAAGTAGCCACAAACTGAAATTTTGTACTTCTGGAAACATAATTACAACGGAAAAATAAATTATTGATTGCCATGCTTAAATTTCTCACTTCCTTATTTTATGGCTGTATTTCCAAATTGAATTAATCGTACTGAAATAGCCTTAGGCTTCCTTTTGTTTGGTTTATAGAAAGTAGATAAGAGTGTGTAGAATGTGGGATTTCACTCGTTGGCATAAAATGGTAAGATGATGTGGTTGAACTAGGTGACAGTAGAAGTGGAATAAATTAGGTAGCCTAACTTTTCCAAATCCAATGTCCTGCAAATTAATATCTCAGAAATGTAGCACACCAAGAGCCTGGGCAGTTTGCTGTGGATCATTAAGAAATCCCAGATCTTAAACTAATATAAGCAATAGTCCAATATTTCAAGAAAAGGACAGATGCTTAAGCAGTGATTGATGGGTAGGGACAATGGAAGGTAAAATGAACTATGCAAACTTTCTCCATTAAAATATTTTGCTTCATTATTTTCTCTCAATATTTCACTTTTCAATATCTGTACTATTTTTGCTATCTATTTATATAAAGGAGCCATATGTTTATAATAACAGTTCATATCAAATAAATATCCCTGATCATGATAGGAATAGGCTTACACTATGTCTAAGAAATAAAATACAAATGAAAACAGGCAAAATCAGATGTGATCAGGATCATTCATAGTTTATTTTTTATTGAAAGAGCCAGTTTGGTCTAGTGATTAATGCACTAGGCAAGAAAATGGGAGACTGTGAATTCAAGTCCCTCTTTAGCCATGAAAGCCAGCCACGTGACTTTGGGCTAGTCACACTCTCTCAGCCCAATCCACCTAACACAATTATTGTGGGGAAAATAGGAAGAGGGAGTTTGTGTGTGTTCACTGCTTGTGTTATTTATAAAAATAATAAAAGCTAGATATAAACAAACAAACTGAATATTACTAGTTTCTTGGAGTAATGATATAATAATACTATTTGCCATCTGCATTATCTCTGAAAGTTCAGAGATAGGTTAGTGATAGAATATAAATACTGTTACAAAACAGAAGCTAATAAACAAAAAAATTCAAGCTAAATCTGATTCTAGCTCTTCCAGGATATGAAAATACGTTATTCCATTTGATTTAAACCAATCTACTTAATATAGATTATTTAAATTGATAGAAACTATGTAACCAATAGAATTTCTTTTGATACTATGATTTCTCTGAATACTTGCTGGAATTACAGTATTTGTCTCCAGAAGAAATGAGCCTGCTGCTTGCAATATTCTGTACAATATATATTACATGGGTCACTACGTGCAGTGACACTGAAATTAATCAGACAAGAAATGTTGAACAGTTGCTTTTTCAAAGCAGATATTTTGTGAGTCCCTGTAGAAAACAATTCACTTAAAAAAACTTTTTGTTTGCATAATGATTGCACTGGCGCTTAAGTTCCAAGGACCAAATAGTATTTTAATTTTGTTAAATTTGTTTATATTCTTAAACTGCAGCATACCAAGGATATAGTGTTTGACATTTGTTATTTAAGGACTTGTCAGATTTCACAGCAGGCTCAGCAATAAATGTTCACTCTCCAGAGGCTTAACCCCATATTCAGAGACTTGTTTCCAGGAGCAGCTCAGGGATAAGTTGCTTTATTGCAGACACAACAGAGATCATATATTTGCAGGGTATCTGTTTCCTAAAATCAAACCCT